TAAAATTGTAATTTACTTTTAAAAAAAAATGAACTGTTCCAATCGAATGGTTTTTGGCTGGTTCTGATTGATTTGGTAGGTTCAGCTGGTCGTTGATTGGTGAGCTGGCAACCGGTTCACCCCATTGAACCTGACCGGTCAACAGACCAATTCTCAGTCCAACCGGTCGGACTGGCCAATTTGGTCTGGTTTTGAGAAACGGTAATGAAATGGAGAGCATTTAAAATGGAGAGTTGGCAGAACTTGAAAAGGTTGAAGTTAAAATTGTTGCAAACGATATAAATAATTATATGGGTACATTACCTAAATAATGCTTTGTAATTATGAGCCAAAGCTTGTAAGTATGGACCAAAGTTTACCCATTAGATTATTATTAATGTTCCTTATTTTGATAATTTAGTATGTCGTACGTGCACATTATTACAATTGCATTATAAATTAAATATATAAATATTATTAATGTTAATTTACCCATTGTATTCAAAATCAGACAGAATCAGATAGTCCGACTGGACGAACTGGGAACCGATTTATTAATTGGTCCGGCTTGCTTGAATAAAACTTTTGCTAGCGAACCGGACAACACCAGCCCAGTAAGACTGGTAGAATCGGTACGATTTTTTAAATAAAATTTCTTACATTCAAAACTATTGTTAATATTGATTAAAAAAATATTTATATAAAATGGAGGTTTATAATTATTTATCAATTAGTTTAAACATTTAAAAATTTAAATTGTTCAGATATTATTAATATTTTATATAAATATATTACAAATGTACTATATATATATATATATTAAAATATAAATAAATTGAATTTTGGTCTAACCAATAAATTATTGAATAAATAACTTGATCAATTTTATGATGGTCCGATTCTGAGAGCATTGTATTTATTATATATTAACAAAAGTTATAATACAATATCATTTTGTTCACCTAAATATTAATAAATGATATATAGATATTCATAAAACATTGAACATGTTGTCATAAAAGCATTCTTAAATTAATTAATATTTAAATTTAGTATCAACAATCGATTTCGTCCAGCCAAACGGACTGATAACTTGGTCACTTGGGATCAACCTCAATTATGTCATATTTTTACTATTGACCGATAACTTGGTCACTTAGGATCAACCTCAATTGTGTCATATTTATACTATTTTAAATATCACCTTAAAGTATTTCAATCAACCTTGGCCTAATTCAAGAAATTTCCTTATTTTCCTTAAGTATTTTTAGTTTTTCGAAATAAAAAGAAATTATAATTCATGTAGTAAATGTTTATGACAAATAGGAATATAATAAAATTAAAACATATATATCTAAAGAAGTAAAGATAAATAAATTATTTCTTACTTTATGAATATTTATAAAAAAAATAAACATAATAATATTTAAAAATTTAAAATCAAGTGATTGATTATGCATTGACATGATGATGTGGTACCAGCAGAAATTACTACATAGCAAATATATTTTGCAAATCAATTAATGCTTTTGTATTATGTTATTTATAAGTTATTAAATATCATAAACGGATAGTGTTATAACGAAGAAAGTACTTTAAAAATATATTATATTTTGATTGTATATATATAACGTAACAAATTTTTATAATTACAATTATAGTTAAACAATTATTTGTAATTCGGTTTGAGTAATCTTGCAATAACTATTTTAATTATAAAAATAAAAAAAAATAAAAAATAAAAAACTCTTTTGCTTTAAAGAAATATTATTTTCATGAAAATATACAATGCAAAAAAAAAAGAGAAAAAAATAAAAAAATCTAAAGAATTTTCTTTTCTAGTAACTAAAATTGTTTAGTGAAAAACTAAACATATTATTTCAAGTAAATGCCAAACTTTTATATATACACACATATATAAGGGGTGAATCCAATGAGTCAACTTTTTAAAGTAAGTACATGAGACCAAATCCTAGTCATTTTGTATAGATCAATGGCTAATATTAATCAATTAAAATATATATTAAATAAATTCGTTGACCGGCATTTACTGCAGGCCAACGACTGTTGACTGATCAATAGCTTCGTCAAAAGTAGGTGAAAGTGGTTGGAATCTCTCGTGCTGTTAATTCTGATTATAGCCAAAGTGTCGAGAACTGCGTTTTTCGGCCGGCATGCTCGTCCAGGAGCTCTTCATCGGAGTGGGCGTCTTCTCCTACCACTAGCATGACGTTCGTCCGCCCGATCTGGGGATTGGAGGTTTGAAAATCAGTAAAATGATTTTGGATTTTGGGGTTTGGAGTTGTACACATAAGACAACGGTTGGCCGCTAGCCAATGGTGGAACGGCGAATGGCTATGATTTATGCGCAACCGAAGTTTGCAGGGAGAGGACGACATCAAGCGACTGATCGGATAGGAGGATGTGTGCGAAGGCTGCCCGTGGATGAACTGCGCGACGTTGTCCACTGTGGCTGTAGGAGTTGGTTGGATGCAGACGTCTTGAGATGCAAGATCACCGACAACTTTTGGAATGGATTTGGGTCCAGCGGCTTTTGGTTGAAAATTAGGCAATTTTTGGGGATTTAATTGCAATTTTAGAAACTTATGAGTTATTGTAATTTGATCCTTGGGGTCAATCTGTAATTTATTTAAAGTTTGAATAATTTCACTGTAGCCCTTCGATTATTATATAATCAATGTGCATTTAATTTAGTTATTGTGCATATTTAGGCAATACAAATGTATATTTTAGTTCATACATAATGCTAACTTAGTTGAGTACATAAAATTAGTAGAACACTCTAGGATATTGTTGTCAAATGCATATTTTTGTTAGTATGTATACTAAAAGCTCGGATTTTTATTAACACTATTTTCATTTGAATGAGTATCATTTTAATAAAATGATTCTACGTTTTGATTTTTTACATTTCTATAGATATGGTTCGCCACGGATGGACAGAAGATCATACTACCGATTACTTGTAAAACATATAGTTTAGTTCACAACCTAGATGGAATTGAACAAACCATCGCGAATGGTTGTAGTGTAATTTGAATTGGTTAGTCTTGACTGATGAATTATACTAGTACATCTCGGATTAATTGAACGGATCCCAGGAGGACAAGTTTATTTTATACTAACCAAGTAAATAAACTACACCTTAATTAATTACTATGTATTCTTAACCAGTAAGATAATAGTGGGTACGTACTGTAGTTGCTACTTTGATTCACTAAAAAGCAAGATCCACTCTGTTGGGTCAATATTCTAGGTGATTTGGATAGTGATGTTGTTTGTATAGTGTGTTGATTGATTATTTACGATCATCACTGTGTGCGTTAGTTTTATGTTGTCTCCGAAGATAGCTCAATAAAGATTATTATGTTAAGCCCGCCCGAAATATTTAATTTTGACATAATAAAAAAGAATTGAGCAGTAGTAGATTTGGATCAAGAAGTCAATCAATTATATTGTTAGTAATAAATTAATTGACGGAATTTATATCTTAAACACTGGGAGGTAAATTGGTATATTGGAACCTCAAATGTAATTTGGGAGTTAAACTGGGATTGCTATAGTATTTTTTTAGTGCACTGAAATATTATTCGAGAAAATTACACTCTATACAAGACATTTCTCATTTTATTACATAAATGGAACTCATTCATAAATATTGGCAATATAACAAAATGTATTGTTTTTATTTGCATAATTACTAGAATTCTCTTCTAGCAATAATTTACATATTTAAATCACCTTCTAAAATCTGACTCCCAAGAAAATTGATAATAATTCCTTGATCCCACAACTCTCTCTCTCTCTCTCTCTCTCTCTCTCTCTCTCTCTCTCTCTCTCTCTCTCTCTCTCTCTCTCTCTCTCTCTCTCTCTCTCTCTCTCTCTCTCTCTCTCTCTCTCTCTCTCTCTCTCTCTCTCTCTCTCTCTCTCTCTCTCTCTCTCTCTCTCTCTCTCTCTCTCTCTCTCTCTCTCTCTCTCTCTCTCTCTCTCTCTCTCTCTCTCTCTCTCTCTCTCTCTCTCTCTCTCTCTCTCTCTCTCTCTCTCTCTCTCTCTCTCTCTCTCTCTCTCTCTCTCTCTCTCTCTCTCTCTCTCTCTCTCTCTCTCTCTCTCTCTCTCTCTCTCTCTCTCTCTCTCTCTCTCTCTCTCTCTCTCTTCTTCTTCTTATTCTTCTTGTTCTTCTTCTATCCCCTTCTCTCTCTCTTCTTCTACAAGTTTATATGATGAGATTTTTTTTTCTCTTCGCGGTGTTTCTGTTCGCGGCTCCTCGACAACCTGCTGCGAGGGAGAAATCAAGTGTGCTGATAGTGCAATCCGCGGCTTCACCAAGTCTTCATCATCGGCGGCTTCTCCAGCGCGATGATGGTGGACGAGCGACGATTTCCGACGACTGGGGAGATTCCCGATGGTGGACTCCATCGCCTTCTCCCGATCGCACAATTCTCGGCCGACCGAGGCGACGCCACCGAGATACCCCATCGCCGTCGAGGAGGGAAAGAAACAACGCCACTGTGCGTCAACCTCAGGCCGCCGTTCGGCCACGACCGCCACCGCGCTAGGAGAATTTTGTGGTTAGGTTTTAGTTGAGTGGATGACCAGACCAGATAATAAATATATACTGTATATATGTAGTATATTTATACCTTTTTTTGATGTTGTGTAGTTGCAGGTATATATGTAGTATGAAAGAATTGAATTGAAAATCATAAAGATCGACATGGTCCTAAGTATATATATTGTATATATATTGTTTATTGATTGTATTGTTTTTTAAAAAACGTTTAAAGAGTATGTTTGTGGTATATATTCTGTATATATGTAGTATATTTATTCAAAAATATTTATTCGGCTGGTGGATATGACCAAAAATATTAAAAAGATGATATCAATCAAATTCTAGAAATTAATAAAAATTATATCAAGTAAATAATATTTTTTTTTCGAAAATCTAGCCTATTTGTAGTAAATGCCAAAGATATATACATAGATTGGAAAAATGCAACATAATTTTCATTTTACGGTGCGTCGTCGTTCAATCGTCATCTGTGTCTGCCTCGTCTCAAAAACCGGCACTAATTGTTTTTTTTTTTCGAGTTCTGTAAACAGAAAGCTACAGAAACAAAATCACCACCAAAAGTAGAAGATGATAAACTTTACGCTGCAAAATCTATTACTGTTCGGTTGCATCATATTGTTGATTCATGGCATCACCAGATCGGCGGCGTCTTCACCCCCCACGGACTCGCTCCTCGGAGTTTCACCTGATGGTTAGATTGCCTCATCAAGCTCCCTTTCCCTCTCTCTACCATTTTGAACTTCTCTTTTCTCTGTGATTTGTGTGAATGTGAAATGTACAAGAAATGGTGCATTCAGCAATAGAATGAACGAATAAAGTGGATGTGGTGCAGATTTGAGTTATTACAAGGGATTGTCATCGTCTGGTGGGATTAAATGCAAAGATGGATCGAAGAAATTCAACAAGTCACAGTTCAACGACGATTTCTGTGACTGCCCTGATGGTTCCGATGAGCCAGGTATTCTTATTCTCAATTCTCTTTCGAATATTGAAATACATGTGTTCATTACAACTTTAGAGTCAATTGTTATATGTACTCTCAGCATTGACTTCAGTAACTAGCCTTGTTTAGAAAATTAATTGTGAATTGTAGACTGGATATGACTCAGGCCTATAAATTGATTGTTTGGGCTGGCCTTTTTTCTTT